GAAGTGAAGCCAGGGCTTGAAGCACCAGGGGAAGAAGGATGCCTCAGACATTCAGTACTTCTATCTCCTACTTCCCAGCCCTCTCTTTATAAGGATAGGTTCCCAGAAACTAGGGACAATTGCTGCTTAGCAGAGCACATGACAACTCTCCTTGTTACCTCTTAGGTACCACCAATTAATTATTCATGTTGCTTCATGAATATGCAATTCAACCATAAGATATAGTTTGGCTTTGGAGGGTGTAGGTAGGCTACTGAAAATCTCTTTCAAACTCCATGTTATAGCCAAAGAGCACTTGAGTTCGATGAATACTAGTTTCCTTTTTCCTTATAATCTTTCTTTTTTGTTGTGTTGCTTATAAATACAAGGATAGCTTTAATCTGCATTATTGAACACTTGTTTTGTGCTGAGTATTATGCTAGTTGCTATCACATCATTGATACTTTCCAATAACCTGATAATGTAGTGTTCATTCTCCATTTGCCAGATAAGAAAATTTGAGCCTTGGTATGGTCTTTTCCATAAGCCAGAATTCAGAAAATTCAAGTCTGTCTAACTCCAGAGCCTGGTAGCTGTAACCATTGTACAACACTGTCAGATGACATTAAAAAAAAAGCCAACGAAGTATAAATGCAAGAAAGTCTACATTCACTGTAGGGAACTCAGAATGTGACATATTCACTAAGCAAGTCCAATTTGGATCACTAAATCAAGAAATAAGTATGTCTTTAATCATTAGAATGTTGGCATAGTAATGGATTCAGATTGTTTGAGTTCAAATCCCAGTTCTAGTTCCATCACTAACCAGTCAAGTGACTGTCACAGTCATTTAACATCAGTTAGCCTAAGTTTTCTTGCTTATAAAATGTAGCATATAGCTGTATGGTGGGGACCCATTAAAACAGTTAATGTGGGGCTGGGGCTGTATGTGGGGCTGTAGCTCAGTGCTTGTCTAGCACATCTGAGGCACTGGGTTTGATACTCAGCACCACATAAAAATAAATAAACAAACAATAAATAAATATAATGTGTCTACCTATAATTTAAAAATATTTTTATGTAAAATCCCATACCACACCTGGCATGCAATAGATGTTTAGCATATTCTAGATCACTCTCATTCTTTTCTTCTTTTTTGTGGGGACCAGACTTCTTACCTGTAGCTTTCACTTGAGGAAAATGAACTATTCCTGAAACATTTTTTTGAGGGTTGATTATTCCCAAGGCTGAACAAGAACAGTTGCCAACTCTCATGTGAACCATATTTCAAAATAAGCTAGAAACATGAACCCTAGGAGGATTCAGGTGGTCCATTTTTCTGCTTCCTGGAAATTAGGGCCAAATTGTGATAATCTATTTTGGCACTAGACTAAATTTTACAATTGGCATGGACTATTAGATTTGGGTATTGGTAAACCCATCCCAGCATTTCAAGGCAAGCAAGCTGAGGCAATGAGAGAAGTGACTTGAACAATTTCAAACAGTGAAAAAAATTAGTAGAGCTCAATTCTCCTGACTCCTTTAACAGTGTTCATTCTTTGGTTCATCTATGGGTTCTCAAGCAAGTGAAACCAAGCCTTGAAGTGTGCTCTTCACAAGAGCTGAAACTGTTTGGACTCTCAGGGATTGGTACAAGTTTGATTGATTCAGAAAATATGAAGCTTTGTTCTGGTTCAAATCATTTCACTCGTTTTTTTATTGCATTCAAACTGTTAACATTTCTTTTTTGTTTGAGGTTTAGCAAATTAGTGTTGTTTCTCCCTGTTTAGGTTCATGGTTTGGTTCAAATTCTTGGTTCTTTGAAATCTTCCTTTGGGATTTTTGTTTTTGACAAAAATACTCAGAATCCAAGGTGGCTAATGACAGGAATTCATTTGAAAAGATCAGTCATGCTTGGTGACAGCTTTGTGGAGGAGCTTGGGTGGTTTAGGAAACCATTAGTGCTTACATTATGGAACCTGACATCAGGATAAAGAAACATTTCAACAGTTTTTGGTGTTTATGTTTGTATATTTTTATCAGGATGCTCTGATGCTTTCGTTTCTATTCTTGCCAATCTGGGTTGAAACTGCTGCCTCCACCTCATTGCGTTTTGGGACTCTGTCAGTCATTTTCTTGATATGAGCCTAATATTTTGACTATGGGAAAGAAACTAACTAAAATTGTCTTCCCTGTCCTTTTCCCTTTACTTTGGACTTTCTGAGGAATTTGGGGAATGTCAATTTTAAGCTTAAATTTGTGGAGTTAGTTGCAATTCTCAAAGGCAGAGCAGCATAATCCTGCAATACAGCCTTTGTTTCTTCTTTTACCACTGTGAAAGTCTAGGGTAGGCCCCTTGCAGAACCTGAAATTGGGCTAACACCTTTCCTAGTGGCCCATAATGCCACAGGTGAAGCTGTGGTAGAGAGTTGTAGTGATGAGGCCTCTGAAGAACTGTATCCTGCCTGCTTGGCTTTCTCCATGCCACAGGATAGCAAGTTCTGATGCTAGGGCTGCCAGTACCTTTTCGAATTCTTAATTGTTTACCTAAACAGATAGAAAGCTAGAGTTGCAGCCGTGGTAGTAAAAGGGCTATTCCTAATATCTTTCTTTCTAAGAGGAGGTGAGATTTGGGATGAACCAAGCAAGTATTTCTGATTAGAAAGTTAGTTCTCACTTTAGATTCATTCTCTTTATTCTTACCTCTCCTTCCTCTCTTCTCTGCTCTCTTCACCTCTCTTCACTTCTTTCCTCCTAGCTCCTTCTTCTCTTCCCCATTTTATTGGCTCATTTGGTCTTAGCTACTTAATGCTTTGTGATTCACAGAATCCACTTTCTCCATTGACTTAATATAGATTTTGGATATATATTTTAATGGCATTTTCAGTAGTGGATATGACACTCAAAAGGGCAATTAGAAAAAAAAAGTTTTCTTTCTTCTTGCAAAAATTGAGCTAAGCACTTGCTTGAGGACACAGATGGCACTGGAGGGGGCCAAGAGGAGCTGACATATGATATTTCTGTTATAGCCCCCACAATTTTTTTGGTTGCTTCAGATTTGGTCCATGTGGATAGACACATACTTGGGTCACCATCATGCAGATGGAAATCAGGACATGTGGGATTTGGCTGAACCAAAGGTCTTCAAACATTGCCTGGATCATTTCGTGCCCCAGGTGTGGCCACCCCAGGACTTCGTGTGCTAAAATTGTGTCCCAGCTTAAGCCAGCTGATCACTGTATATATAGTATCAAGGAAGCTTGGAGTCTTATAAAGCATGTCTTTGGATTTTTACCTTGTGGATTTAGATTTAGCTAATCAATTCAAATCCTTTCTCACATACTGGACAGAGAGAATGTACCAGGTAAATAGAAAGATTTAACAAAAGGAGATGTTTGACCCATAGTTTGCATCCTAGATGGGGTGTAATACCAGAACATATAAAGAAAAATGGACCAACTTCCAGAAATGAAAGATAGAATTAGAGGGCTCCAGTCTCTTTAAGATGCTTTTGGTATATTATATGTCACATTTTAAATTTTTTTAAAATTCCCCTTTTGTGGAATTTTAAAAACAAACTGTTCTTTTTAATTTCAAAATTTGAAGAGTGAAGCAATGTTTAATGAAGTTATATTGGCCCTTTCTTTTTATTTGCCTTATGTGAGAGAAGTGCCTCACTTCAATCATTTAAGCAGAACTTGTTTTCGGTGTAGTAATAATAATATCATACAACTGAATATCCCTTTATAATTGACAAAAGTCTTGTCATATCCATTATCTCATTAACTTTCACAATAATCCCATGAAGCAATCAAGATAAGTAGTATTATCTCCAATTTATAAATGAGGGAACTTAGGCTCAGAGAAGTTAAATGACTCATCCAGGATCATACAGCTAGAAAGATATAAAACTGTAACCTGAACTCAGGTTTCCTGATACCCACTCCCAATGCTCCTTCGATTGTGTTGTGTTCCCTCCCTAAGAAACTATCTGCTTTTTGTTCCTACTCATGATTACTTTTAAAATATGTCTGAAAATGTGCTTCCATTTAGCAGATGAGTAAAACTGAAGCACTTAGAGGTAAAGTGACTTCTTATAACTAACAAGTGGATCCTTCATCGAGCACTTGGCTTTTTACCTTGACTTTAACTGAACTATTTTTAGGTAGCCATACATTTTTTTCAGTGTTAAATATATGCAGGAAAGTTGTGTGATCCACTGATTATAGGTGTGAAAGCTGCACCTGGGGAATGGGACAAGGGATGAAAAGTTAGCTTAAAATAATTAGCTTCTTACTGTTTCGTTAAGAGATGTCATGTTCAATAGAATTTAATTTCTTTATACTTCCTTTGCTTCCAGCCTTTTAAATACAATTCTTTAGGGAAAATTAGCAAATATTCATTCTGAATGTTGATTTCCCAGGAACAAGGGTAGCCAGAGGAAAGAGAAATTGGAGGGGCGACTTTCTGTGCCCTGTAAGAGTGGGCAAGCTTTATTTTGTTTAGAGCTGCGAGCTAAGATTTCTTCTAAGGCATGCAAATCGTAAAGTTCTGATTTGTCAACTGCATGCTGTTTCTTTAGGCACTGATGTATGAAATCCCGAACGAATTCTCCGATGAACATACTGCTAATTGCTTCTCCACCTGCTCTCCAACCTCCTCTACCCCACCCCCTCCACTCCCAATTCAGCCTATAAGTGTCCGTCATTGGAGATGGATGGTGACACATGCAGTAATAGCAATTCATAAAAGCCAGTTCCAGCCCTTGTCTTCAAGGCTCCTGGATTTTCCACTGCCTGCTTTTGTGTAAGTGAAGTGGATGGAAGTGCTACTGGCATCAGAATCCACCTCCCTATGCTCCGTTGCTAGAGCTCAGTTCCTCGGCTGGAGCTGAGCTAAACAGAAGCATCGGATCTGAGCTGAATTGTGGCTTTTTTTTTTCCTCAATGGGGAGGTGGGTTAGGGATAGTGTGTAGTGGGGATTTGGGGTGCTTTGGCTTTTCTTTTTGTGGAGAGAAGAGGGTAAAGAGAATAACTCACAGTAGGATACAACGTGAAACTGTTCCCCGAAGAGTGTCACAATGTTCCTGGTACAATATACAGGTATAGTATGTTTCATTTTATCTGAAATTTCCCTTTTGTTTCAAAGTGCATTTCTCTCTCTTTTTTTTCCTCGCAGTTCAACTGTACTGAAGGACAAATAGGATTCTAATGAGCTAAACAAAATAGCTGCATAAAATATGCCTGCCCCTAGCTATAATGTTAGTAGCAGATTGCTGGGTAAAAGCTGGGTTTTCTGTTAAATTGGTAGTCCTGATCCCTAAATTGTGCACGCTTCTCTGCTGTTTTGTTGTATTGAATTTCTCAAGTCTTAGGTCTGCAACTGGTAGTATGTGATACAGCTTAGAGTGTTTGCACAGAAGACACAGTGCTTTGGAAGCAAAAAGCAAATTTTAAACACTTAGGTTATTGTGCTTCTCTTGAGTTTTTTAACTCCTGTTTTTATTAATTGGTTGTGTAGATTTGTCATATGGATAAGAGTGAGAAAACTTCAAATAGGAAGCATTCCAGAGCACATCTGTTTGGTAAATTTTATTTATTTTCATTTCATTATTAAATTCAGGTTGATGAACATTATATATTATTGTTTGTTTATTCTCCTGCTAGAGGAAAAGTGTTGGAAACAGCAAGGCTAAAAATGCCAGCCTCAAACCATCTGTATTATAAAATATCTTTGGATTAGAAGTGTCCCTTAAGTATTCTTGTAGGCTGTCAGAAAAATACTGGTTCATAATATTGAAAAACTTAAAGACTCTGATCAGATATTTGTGAACATTTTTCGAAAAGCTTCTTATACAGCAGTTAGATGGAAAGAAAGGACCCTTGCAAATGAAAAACTCTGAGAAAGTTTCACTTTCTTGCAAACAGAATGGAACAGAAGCTTAGTTTCTCCAAACACATGTTTTGATAAGTTCGAATATCATTTATTGTCAAGGACTTTCATCTCCATTCTTGCTTTATTATCCTTAAAATATTGTGTTCCTGTGCTAAAGAGCTAAAAGATCATGTTCTGTTTTGATGTGTGGTTTGACAGTTGATTTCACTCCTCATTAATTGGACAGCATACAGATGATGTGGAGAAGTGAGTGAGTGACAATATTTCAAGGTTACGTTGAAGAGCATACAGTGAACCTTAGTGCCTGGACCAACAGCTGCTGAATTGAATTGTCTGCAATTAAAGCAACAGCAGGTTTGTGTAGTCTCCCTGCAGCCCATTTATTTGAATTTATAGCTTTGGTTTCTTCTTTGGGTATCAGTTGGTTTGCTTTGCTAAGTGTTGGAAAGTTGTGCTTGCTGTATGTCTTCCCTATACTTCAATGCATGCTTGACTCTGGAAGAGCCATCTCTGTATGTTTGATTGTGAGAAGTTGTTGAGGTTTTTCTCATTTGGTTAAAACCACAGACTGTCTTATTTTTTTCCACTACAAAATTAAATAGATATATTCTTATGGAAAATATTGTTTTGTTCAATAAATAGAGGTTTCTCATGGACTGATGTTACTGGCTTAAGTTTCTGGCAGTGAAAAATACTGGATTTTGTTATGCTACTGAATTACTGTGAAAAACTTCTCTATAATAATAAAAATGTTTATGTTAAAATACTTGATGACATTATCTCCTTGCCATCTCAATCCCAAGGTGACCTAATGAATAACATGAAACCCAAATAGGTGACTTTTGTGACTGAATTTTATTTGTGTGTCAATAGTGAATACATATTTAATTGCTTAATGGTTTTACCTTACTAAAATTATAATTACAATATAATTGTTGGTTATTGAATCACAGTGAATGTTGTATGAATCATTTATACAGTGATTTAATATAGACTGTCTTAGTTTGTCCTTATAACAATCCGGGTAACAACCGTAGTGATATGATCTCATCTTATAAGTAAGAAAACTGAGATTCAGAGGATAAGTAACTGGCCTGATGTCTCACATCTAATAAGTGTCAAGACTGAATTCATAGGTTATAGCATCTGATTAAAAATCTGTAGTTTTTACTTTCTTACATGACACTGTCTCTCAGATGATGAGACCAGGGTAAATTTGACTTACGTTATTAGTCAAGAAGACTAAATTGAGTTATTTACTAAAAAAATATATTATTTGATAGAACTGTAGGGATTGTTTTCAGAACTATTTTAATCCAACATTTATTTTAAGTGCCTTCCAGATTTATTTTTATAGATACTTAAGATACACTAGTATTTTGATTAATGTATACATCAATATGAATGAAAATAGAAATTTGAAGTTTTGGGGAAAGAAAATGTTGTCTAATACAAAAGGTAATGTGAAATATTTTCCTTCTAAAAAAAGCTAATTGATTTCAGTATTCTGCTCAGTGATCTTATAAGATTATTTTCATAAATGTGTGTATATTTTAAAATATTCTGGCCATGAGTGTCAAGCACTGTTTTTAAAATTAGAATATTTTGTCCAGATTAAATGAAAAATATAGCTAGTTCAGTTTCACTCCTTTTTTCCTCTTTGTTTCTTTTTCTCTTTCTCGTCAGCCTTTCCATCTTTTTAAATTCTCAATGGTTTCTCACTTTTAAATCCATTACTTTTAAGGAAAAATTTTACTTTCTGTCCTACTGAAAAAGGGACTATTATTTAAAGCTGCACTATCAATTCTGCAAACGAACCCAGGTATTTGAGTAACTCCTACTAGGTCTCTAGAAAAACTTTTTGTAAAACCTCTTAGGAAAAATGGAATTTTAAAGAAGGACAACTCTTCTACAGCATTTGACAATATCTGAGAATGTTATCAATAAAATGAGCCAGAGATAGGGCAAATATTGTTATAAGCTGTTCATGAGACTTTTAGGAAGATGGTAAAGATGGTAATGGGTATATATTGTCTTGTATACCTCATAATGAGAATTTATCTTTATTCTAAGATGGTATTTTTATACTTCAGTGCATCTTAAAGTAAAGCAGGACATATTATTCCCTTCTGATAAAAGAAGAAGAGGGCAATAGAAAGCCCTTTCATTGTTCCTTAAACTTAAACGATCTTTGACACTTAAAAAAATACAGGAGGGAATTGTGGGGAATAGGTCAGTATTAGAGAAGGGAGAACTAGGAAAACTAGGCATGTGATTGGAAGCTCCATATTAAAGTTGTTTTCAGATAGGAATTTTCTGTGAAATTGGAAGCTCAGGCTAACACCCTAATGTGCCAATGCTTTTCCTGGGAACAAGCACTCTGAATTTAAATGAAAAAAAAAAGGAGCTTATGGGGGCTTTTAAAGAAATTGACATTTTCTTATTGGTGAAGGAAAAAAAGCTATCATTTGCAAAATAATCACTTTTCCCCTGAACTGTTGGAGGCCAGGATAAATTAGAGAGGGGTGGATTTCTATGTCTGGTTGTTTGGGGAAGTGAAGTTGAATTGTCTGGTGGATTTTCCTCTTTATACACTTGTAAGTGTATTTTAGAGGCGTGAAGGGCAGGTCTTATGGATGGGAGTATAAGGGTTAGTATACACTAGCCAACAGTGTGCTGGAGCCTGCTTGCACTAGCTTAAGGAGATCACTATGAAGATTTATAAATTTAACTACTTAATTTATACCTTTTCCAAAAAGGACTTAATGTATTCATTATGAATAATAATCAAGGCATGCTGTCTATGCAGGACATTTATACTGCAGATGCCTCTTGGGCTGCTAAACTATACTGATTGACATCCCGTAAACATAGCAGTGATACATTCAAGGGTTATTAAACATAACACAGTTAGTGTCCCCCTCCCATACATATACATAATAATAAATATAGCTAACATTTATTGAATGCTTATTCTATGCAGGGCCATATTGTAAATACCTTATGTATATGAACTCAAAAACTTTCCAGGGCTCTCATTAAGTAGGTAGTATTATTTCCATTTAAATCTTAGAAAAAATGAGACCCAGACTTTAAGTAAACTGCCTACCAGGTAACATTGTTAATAGGTACCAGAATCAAGGTTTGATCTCCAAAAACTTGTCCTCAGAGCCCATGCTCTTTACCACTGTGTAATATGTGGTGTGTCTTTAAGAGCACTTCATTGAAGGTGTTTGCCCAAACTGTGCCGTGCTGAGCAGATATACCATTGTCCATGACTTTGGAAGACTTGTGCAGCACAATGTTGTCTCCTCACCAGACTGTTAAAGATTTTTTCCGTTCTCTCTGACCCTCCTCATTGGTACTCTGTTCACAGAGTCATAGAAGATCATTGCATCCCCAGCAGTTTCTAAAACATTGCCACTACTAATGTTCTTTCTTCAGATTTTTGGCTTTGTTTTAAAAATCTTTCATGTTCTGTTGCTTCTATCTTGATTCTCAGCCTTTTGCAACAAGAAACATTGCCAACCAGAGTGTAATTTTTCTTCTATGCAGCCAAATGACCAATCATAACACATCTTCCCAGCATCTACTCTCGCCCCACTCCATTTTATGCATAGCTGTTACAGGGTTTTTCCTAAATGCAGATTTTATCCTGTCACTCCTCTCCTCAGAAATTTTCTAAAGGATTTTGTTTTTTTGTGCAGGACCATGTTGTAAATACCTTATGTATATGAACTCATCAACTTTCTAGGACTCCCATTAGGTAGGTAGTATTATTTCCATTTAAAGCTTAGAAAAATTGAGACCCAGACTTTAAGTAAACTGCCTACCAGGTAACATTGTTAATAGGTACCAGAATCAAGGTTTGATCTCCAAAAACTTGCAGAGCCCATGCTCTTAACCACTGTGTAATATGTGAATGCCCATTTGGGGCATTCACAATCATCCATGGTCTCATCCCAGCCACCCAGAAAGCCTTTACACCCTGATCTTTCACTATACCATGCAATGTATATCCTATTTATTTAGCAGTTAGACCACTTCTGGGTCACTGGGTACACCCCAAATTTTTAAGCTCTGTACATTTCTCTGTGCTGTTCTCAAAATATTTATATTACTATTCTTGCACATCTCTAAGAGCCACTTGACCCTTAAGGTTCAGTTCAAATCACATCTGCTACTGTATCATAGTACTTACTGTCTGTCATCCACCAGTAGGCTCAATTCTTGGTCGTTAACCATATTTTATTCATCTCTTAGAGCAAAGCCTAGTATCTTGCACATAGTTACCTCTCACATAAATATTAGGTGCAGCTATACCAACAAAGAGGTTTTTCTCCTCTTCTGCTAGCTCCAGGTTCAGAGCTGTACCATAGCCCAAGAGTTCCAGAAGTTGAATGGGTACATTGCTTCTGTTTTATGTAGATAGTTTAGGATATTGGTTAAAACGAGTTGTTTCTGTTTCAACTGTCTTCTTGATTTTTTTCCTCTATACTCATCCTTGCATGGTTTGATTATACCTTCAAAGCTCCTTCTTTTGTCTTTGTGGAATAACCTTTCACTTTTGTAGAGAGAGACAGACTTGCCTATGTACAGATATTAATGCTTAATCATACAAGAAAATTAATCTGTATACATAAAATGATAATTAGAAATTTTATTTTTATTGTCATGGTTTTAAGATATGTGATACTTTTAAATTTAAATTTATTTTAATATAAAATATAAAACTGTACATATTAATGGGGTACCATGTGATGTGTCAACACATGCATATACTGTAAAATGTTCAAATCAGCAAAAACATCTATCCCCTTAAACATTTATCATTTCTTTATGGTGAAAACGTTCTAAATACTTTCTTCCAGATATTTTTAGATATATTGTACATAATTGTTATCTTTAGTCACTGTACTATGTAGTAGCACACCAGATTTCTTACTCCTGTCTACTTGTAACTTAGTATTTTCTATGGATTTGATGTTAATTACATTGTAGAAAAAATATTGTTGAGATGATTTGAATTTTTTGTTTTGGCACTGAAAGTCTAGGTCTTATATGATGTCAACCCAGTGCTGTCCAATAGAATTTTTTGCAATGATGAAATATTCTGTATCTCCACTGTCATCACAGTAGCCAGTAACCACTTGTGGCTATTGAGGATTGAAATGTGGCTACTACAACCAAGGAACTGAATTTTTAATTTTACTTACGTTTAATTTAATTGAAATTTAAACAGTCACATTGGGAGTGCAGATCAAGAAAATCTGGTTAGGGTGGGCATGGTAGCACATACCTGTAATCCCAGTGGCTTGGGAGGCTGAGGCAGAGGATATCAAGTTCCAGGCCAACCTCAGCAATTTAGTGAGGCTCTAAGCAACTTAATGAGACCCTGTCTCAAAATTAAAAAATGACTGGGATGTGGCTCAGTGGTTAAGAGTCCTGTATTCAATCCCCAGTACAAAAAAAGAAAAATAAAAGAAAATAAAATTAAGTCTGGTTATCCAGAAGTAGTAATTTTCTTAGGGGTCTAGATGGCCACAGTGATGATGGTATTGATGTATTGATGGGCAATCAAACTGGAATGTTTTTTTCCTTTGACTTATAAGGAATTGCATTTCTTAAGGATAGTTTAAATTTTAAACATGGCCTAAAGTGAGTTATTCTCAGAAGTGATTTAACAAATTATGATCTCAATTAAATTTAAATGAGATCTACACTCTGCATTTCTCATCAGTACTATTTTTCTCATCATATTGGCTTGCCGTTGAGAGCTGGCGGTTAAGCCTTGATTTCTAAGCTAGATAAGAAAGTTGAGTTAATCAGAAGAAAGAGCACCTAGCTCCAATGTTCAGGTCATAGACACTTTTTTATACATTTTGGCTCTTGAAGACCCTTTCATTGTTTTCTTTTGGTTTGTTCAGTCCTTTAGCTACACATGACTCACTACTTTTCAGCTTCCATTTCTCACTCTGACAGGTCTTCCCTATACTAGTAGTGTACCCCTTTCAAGATTATTTCATTATTTAAAATACCATTAAATCTTCGGAAGAATTTGAATCAGAAATATAATGTAGTCTCAATATAAAGAGACATAAATCTAGTCCTGTGTTTTATTACTACATGGAGTTCACATGTATTAGTTTTTTTTCCCTGGGGACCTTAAAAAGAACCTAGCATCAAAATCTATAGTATTGGGAAAAAGTCACATGTGTAGAGCAATGTACTTGGGTATTACTGTCTACAGAAACTATATGGTAAATAATTATGCCTGCTTGACCTGCCTCTCTGTTGCTTAGATCCCAGTTCTTTGTATTATTTTCAATTGCTACAATTTTTTAGCACATCCTGAAATTCCCTTATCTCCTTCTGCATTCTTCACTTTCTTTAGCTCTGCTGTTTTCAATGGACAGCAGACTGCCCCCCCCTTTTTTGTACCATTCATACTAGCTTCCAGAATCCATTGTCATATTCAGCCTCCCTGAACTGCCTTGAAGTGTTCAAAGCGGGCCACTCGGGGCCACCCTGCAACACTCTACAAATAGGTTCTTTTGTTTTGAGGACTAAATAGATAGTACCTCAGCTACAGTTTTGAGAAATGTGTAAAGACAAAACCCTCTGGATCTAAAGGAAATTTAAAAATTTTTGCTTCTTCCTTTCCTCAGACTACATCTACATTTTTCAGTGGTATTTTTTCTTTATTTAGAAATCCAGACCTTTCTACTTTCAATGAAAATGTTCACTCTGATAGGGACTCTTCATAATTTACATCAGAATGAAAAAGAAGGGAAATGCGCTTTCAAGGCCTACTATAGGATGATGCAAGTATCTTTACATAAATTATTTCATTTAATCTTCAATCAGCACTCTCAACAAATGTTAGTTATGCTTCTTACTCAAGGCTGTTTATACCACTGATTTATAGCTCTGTCTCTAAACACTCCAAAGCCTACATTCTTATTTTTCTTTTATACTTATATGTATAATTGTGAATGGTTGTCTCTATTCCTAGCCCTGTTTGTGTGTGTGTGTGGGGGGGGGGCATGGTGAGAGAGAGAGAGAGAGAGAGAGAGAGAGAGAGAGAGAGAGAGAGAGAGAACGAACACAAAGGGAAAAAGTAGGATTAGAAGTTTTCAGTACTATGGTGTTCCCTTGCAAAAATCCCAGATTAGTGAAAGTTGGAGAATATAAAGAAAACACTTTCTGCGTTAACAGTCTACTGAAAAGGAATTGTGATGTGCTCAATTAGAGTTTCTAAAACATTGTAAATAATGCCTTCTTTAGATTCTTTATACTTCTGCTCATTGCCACTCCTGTTCCCTGCCCTAGACTGCTGACCCTTGCTGCCAAACATGGTTGGCATTTTCCCAAACCCTGCCCTTGGGTTTGGAGGTGGGACAGAAACTGCAAAGAACCACGGCCGTTATGTACTCAGCTGAATTATGGAAATCTGTCCAGCTTATTCAGTGGAAGTTGTTTAACCTGAATTCACCTTAATGTGTTATAAAGAAGTTGATGAACATAAAAATAATTGTGACAATCGTATTGAATAAAAATAACAGTAATCTTCATGTAAGTAAGGCAGACTATTCTGGAAAAATTTTTCTTGTGTGGCATATTACATTTTTCTTGGTTATAAGTATGAAACCAATATATTAAAATAAATAGATCATTATTAAAAGTAATTTGATTCATGCTTTTATATATTTATATATTTAAACTATATTTAGAGTGTGCAATATGATATACCATTTAAAAAGCCAATATGGTTTTGAGTAACTGACATAGATATGGACAAATAACTTCTAAGAGCAAAGTAGTGAGAATCCCTTTTTAATTGGTAATAAGACCATGCTCAAGTTTCTGTTCTCTGGAATTGAGATGCTTGAAATGGAAAAGAGCAATTGAAATGCTTAAGGGATCTGGGGAGAGTAGTTTATGAGGGTGGGACACAAAGTAAATACAATAAATACAGCTTGAGTAGTTCGTGAATATTGGCGCTCACGGCTATTTTGAGTGGTGTGAGTAATAAAGAGCACAATCTGGCAGAAAAAGGGATAAGCACAGGCAGAAATATGACCATTGGAGAAATGAGCCTGGGATTCCAGTAGTAGCTCTTCCCTCTCAAGTAGTGTTCCCTGAGTGCCCTACCCATGGACTTTGTGAGGCTTTTAACAAGAAGAGGAAGAAATGGTCTGGGAAGAAATGGTCTGAAGGAATTGAAGTGAAAAAGACTTAATTGTTCTGTCAAATATTTACAGCGAGGGATGGGGGCTGTAGCTCAGTGGTAGAGCACTTGCTAGCATATGTGAGGACCTGGGTTCAATCCCTATGATTGCAAACAAAAATTAAGAAACAAAACTCTCAAGTCAGTAAGATACCAGAATTGATTCATAGACAGAATATGCTTTCTGGGGTACTATTGCACAGTAGGGGGATATAGATAATATTTATACTGTACATTTAAAAATCTAGAAGAAAGGATTTTGAAAGTTTTCATCACAAAGACATGAGAAATGTTTGAGGAGATAAATGTTTAACCTGATTTGAATATTGCACAGTGTATATGTGTATCAAATATTATAAGGTAGGTAATCCATTAATATGTACAGCTTTTATGTTTTATGTATATTAATTAAAATAAAATCAATAAAAATATTTGCAGCTATTTAAAATAAAAATAACCCCCACCCAACAATAAACTCTCCAGAACATTTCTTTGGCTGTCCTCACATCAAGGCCAGATAAAGCACAAGCTGAAAAGAAGAACCTCACTCTAACATGGAATATGATCTAAGGCAGTGCCCTTCTTGGACCTTCTCCACAGAGATTTATTACTGGAAGTAACAGAAGGGCTATGTTGGAACATTAAAACACAGTTCCAAGACATGAACCCTGAGGTTGGGATTTATAGTAAGGCTCTGGTGTACTAACTGGACAATGAGTACAATTTCACTGCAGATGTTTTCCATTTGTGACTTTTGATGCAGGGTTTTTGTGTATGCCTAAGAGGTCAGTGAATCAGGATTAGTAAGTCAGGACTTCTCAGCTTTCACCTACTATGCATGTTTTATGGACTTTACCAATCCATTCAGGGAGATACTTGAAGCTGTTTAGCCATTTCTGATCCCCAGGGCACTATTGGTAAGCTGCCCTTCCCAGGATATTAAACTTTCCCTTGCTATTGTGAAACAGATGATAGATAAGCAGCTTTTCTCATAGTAACTGAACTTCCCTTTTTTCAGTATAGAGTACTTTCCAGTAGTTTAAAAGTCTAAAGTGGAGTAGAAACTGCTATCCCATGAGGTTTTAAATCTAGATCATAATAGACCAACTGCCAACTTATTTCCCTTTATGATCCATGTTAAAGTTATTGACAGAAAAGCATTGCAGAATGGAGTGCCAATTTCTTATGGCATTTGTGGACTTATGCCAAAATATTTGAAACCTTCAGCCAAATGGTTCATTCTGGAGTGTTGGGAGCAACTTGTAAAAATGAGCAGCCTATATATTCCATGTCTGATGAAAAGACAGAGGAGGGTGGAAAGAGAGAACAGAAAAAAATCCAGAATGATTTGTAACTAATTAACTTAATGCTTATTAGTATTAAACATAATGTAGGATATTGTTCTTATTAACATTTATAAAGTGCTACCTGTAAAGCTGCAGACTAAATAAAAATAATCCAGTAAATGGTCCTATTGCTAAATTATTGAGCCAGAGACACCAGATAAATATTAGAAATGACCTAAATCTCAGCATCAAGCTTTATTATTTCATAGGAAATCACAATTGGGACTTACTACTCTAATGGGAATATGTATGTACTCATTCATTCCTTGCTAATGAGGAAATGATTACCAATGAGAAAAAGAAGGTTTATAGATGAAAGTTCAGAGGAACTTTGTAAAATATGCCATTTAATAAAGCCGTATGATTTTAAGAAAACTTGTTACTGAGTCATGTGTCCCCCTCTACCGTATATGTACACAGTCTGTTACATGAACCCTTCCACTTAATCTTCAAGTGACCAATCCAATTTATACCTGAATACTTCCAATAATTAGGCACTCTCAACTGTACTATGGGACACTTGATTTTTTAATAGCTCCAGTTATTGAACATTTATATAAATAAGCCAAAATGTGTCTCCCTTCAGCCTTAGGCACAGTACCATCCATAAAAACTACAACACGAATTGAGTCCTCTGTGGTTATATATTCTGATGGTCTTGATTCTGCTTACCCCTTGGGGCTACACCAAGCAATTCCATCCTGCTTCCATGTAGTAGCCCCTCAAATGTTGGAAAACAATCATCATGTGCTCACTGAATAACGGTATTTTTTACCAAAAATTTTATTGGGGTATTATTTACATACCAAACAATTCACCCATTTTAAAAAAGCATGTAACTCAATGATTTTTAGTATATACACAGAGTTGTATAACCATCACTAAAAATTCAATTTATAGCATTTTCATCATTCCTCAAATAAATAAATCCTAATCCCCTTCGCCATTACCTCCCAATCTTCTATAGCCCCCTGCCTCCAGAATACTAGGCAACCTCTGATCTACTATCTTTCTATAAATTTGCCTGTTTTTAGGCATTCTATGAGTAGATTCGTGAAATATGTGGCTGTTTCTCCTTTTTTGCTTAATGATTTCAAGGTTCATCCATATTGTAGCATGAGTCAGTATTTCATTCCTTTTATGGATTATAATATTTTGTTGTTTGGATATGCCACTCTTGTTTGTTCATCAGTTGATGGGTATTTGGGCTATTTTCACTTTTTGGCTTTTGGGAATAATGGTGCTATGAGCATTCATGTCTAAGTTTCTGTGGGACATGTATATACATGAGTCATATGGTATCTTTGTTCAACTTTTTGATGAGGCAACAAAATTGTTTTCCTAAGTACCTGCCCAATTTTATAATCCCATTAGCAATGAATAAGGGTTGCAGTTTCTCCACAATCTTGTCAATACTTCTTATTGTCTATTTATTTTAGCTGTCCTAATGAATATAAAATTGTGGTTTTACAAATATTTTCTATCATTTTATACTCTGTTTTTTTTACTTTTATGATGGCATCATTTGCACCACTAACATTTCTAATTTTTATGAAGCCATGTTTTCTGTTTTTTTTTTCCTTTGTTGCATATATTTTAGTATCATCTATAAGAAAACACTGCCTGACTCAAGGTCAGGAAATTTACTTTTTTGTTTTCTTGCAAGAGTTTTAAATTTTGGACTCTTATATATAGGTCTGTAATACATTCTTATTTAATTGTTTTGTATAATATGAGGTAGAGGGTCCAACTTTGTTATTCATGTGGATATCCAGTTGTTCTAGCGCTATTTATTGAAAAGACTAATTTTCTCCATTTCATTCCCTTGACATCTTTTTAAAAATAAATGAATATTAAAAGTGTTTATTTTATTTATTTGCTTTTATTTTAACTGATAAAATATAGAGTTGTACATATTAATAGGGTACCATATAATATTCAGTAATATTATATAAAGTTATACATAATATTACTTACATAAAGGTAAACATGCATCTCTTCAAACATTTTCATTTCTTTATGTTGAAAAAATTTTAAATTTTTTCTTGTAGCTTTTTAAAGTGTACAGTACATAATTGTTATCTATAGTTATCATACTGTGCAATATTACCCTAGAGCTTCTTGTTCATATCTAACTGTAACTTAGTACCCATTTATCATCCTTTCCCCATGCCTCCCCACACTTACATCCACAGACTCTAGTAACCACTTTTACTTT